TTTGTTTTTTTTGGTATTGTATCGAACAACTCAATAACATCATATTCTGTAGGATTTATCTTGTTATCAGAGCATACGATTCTAGAGAATCGAAATTAAAATTATCATAGTATAAGGCTAAAGTGTCTTGGGATAACCTCTGTTTTTAAAGATTCATCTCACTTTTTTGCGCCAAGTTCAATATGGAGATTTGTTCACTCTCAGTGTCTCTATTTGTTGTTTGAAATAGAGATTGGCTTATTCGCAATGGTTTGTTTTGGGATGGTAGAGATGGAACTATGGGCTCATGTTTGGAGAACATTAACACGAATCATTAACAAACATGGCTATACCGTATATAGCCTATACGTAACATAATCGTATCTTTAAACTAAAAGACTCCACACAAGTTCGAAGGAATCCTCCGGTTCATGAGTCATGACAATCGGTCGGCTTTGCTTTGCTATTCCACAAATTTGGTTTGTTGCTTTTGTTTTCATTTTTTCCTTCCACACTTGTACATAAACTTTTAGTTGAACAATAAATTTCAAAATAAAGCAAAAACATGACATATCGTATAAGTAAGAAAAAAATCGAAATTGTTCAATCAAAATAATCAACCACATGATAAAACTAGATGGAGATTTACATTTAATTTTTATATAAAAAAAAAAGTTACAATAATTAGTCTATTAATTATCTAAACTACTTTTTTTTGGGGCTTCCTGGGCCTTTCAACAAAAGAGAAAACCAAACCTTAATAAATCCACAGAACAAACCGGACCAAACCCGGTTTGCTTCTTTGTCGTTATTGATAGGCATTTTTCACTGTTTATTCATTGTTTGCCACTTCCCTCTTGTTTCCAGCGTTTAACGGTACTGACTGAAGAACATTTGCTTGCGTTTACTTTTTTTTTTTTTGCGTTTTACTCACAGTCTTGTTAAAATCGAAGCCTAGCTTCTCATTTCCTTTGATCAAAAAAAAAAAAACTTCTCATTTCCTGAAACAAATCGTCAAATCTCTCACAGGATTTCTAGGTCTTTTCTGTTTTTCTTTCTACAAACTGTTAAATGCCGATTCTTTGCTTGTTTCTCTTCTCTCTTTGCTCGATTTTGTTGTTTAGGTTTTTTCTTACGGGTCGTTTTCTGTAGAGACCTTTGGACCCATAAGATCGGTAATGCTTAAAGACTGGAGCCTTTTTCCCCTAAGAGATAAACCCATCATGTGAAAGTTATGCTCTTTGTGTTCTGGTTTGAAAGTTTAGCTACTTGTATATGAAATCCATGGAGAAATTTGTGCTGGTGTTTACC